TGAGTGCAGACAGATCAGATAGATCCACGGGATCCGAACAATGGTTGAACGGACAATATTGAAACGGTCGGGCGAGAGCGAGTATTGCGCTACAGGGAGCGCACGCCATAAGACTGAATGGCTATGGACTCTTATCATCTCTCCTCCCCGTAAGATTGGCACAAATATCAAAAGTGAATTAAATCTACTGAGTATGTGCAATAGTAATGGGATTCATATTCTGGGCTTTACCGAAGTACTTCCGCATATTTCTGGAATCTTGAACAGTGCCGTCGGAAAGCTTGTAAGTAGAATCGCCAAGTACTTGTTGAACCAGTAGAGGGCCTCTCCATGAAGGAGTAAGGGGGTCGACGTTACGGACCCACTTCATCACGGAGTCACCAACCTTGAATAGACGTCGTCGTGCGACTTGTCGAGTGTAGGTTGATGGATTGATACGCGAGAGAGCATCAGCACGCATCTTCTCCATTACGTTGAGAGTGCTGTCGACCATTCTCTGTCGTTCCCGATCACGACGTCGAGCCTCGAAACGGACAGAGTCTTCGTCGATAGTGTTGCTGACGTCTTCAAACCGTCTTGAAAAGGGCGTTAGAGCATCGAAACCGTAGAATAGCTCTTGAGGACTGTAGCCATATGTAGATCGGGTGTTGATCCTCCGCTGAGCTTTAGTGACATACGCCGGCCACGATTCAGGATGTTCAGCACAGAGGGCCTTCAATGACTTCTTGAGACCAGAGTGTTGACGTTCTAATAGGGCATTGCGATGGGGGCTAGCGACAGGGATACATCTCAAGGTAGCACCTATGCAGCATAGGCTATGCTGGCAACCCAGGCGCGGAAGTAAACACCAGTGAAATAGCGGGCGTTGTCGACTGTGAAAACTCGTGGGACTCCGACCTGATCGATCAGCCTTGCTTCGAGGATACCAGTGATGGTCTTGCTGGTGATGTCGGGAGTTGGAAAGAACCAACAATAACCGCTGCAACAGTCCATGCATGATATGATGAACTTGAAGGGGTGGGAGAAGGATTCCGACACAGGCAGAGGACCGACAATATCAAGGAAGCAACAGTCGAGGATCTTCATAGGCCTTGAAGTACTTCTCAATGGGGGACCGATGGGGTTAACGTTGCCCCGACGGCCGGCTGAGAACTGGCATACGCATCTTGACACCACGTGTTGAACAAGCCGAGAGACACCAGGGATGTAGAAAGCCTTTACTACACTGTCGTGGGTTTGCTTGAGCGGACAATGACCGAGGAAGATGTGGATATCTTCGATAACCGAGTGAGCAAACCGTTGAGGTAGAAAGTAACGATGCCCATATCGCAACAATCCGTCGTTGTCAATGGTGAACTGTGAGCGGGGGAGACTGGCGAGTCTCTGACAAGTAGGGTCATTGGTCTGGACGTCTCGGAGCCAAGTGCGTGCAGCCGCGGGGTCGACTGGGATGGTTGCCACTTTCTTGAAAGGTCGTGCGACCACGCAAGCATCGAAAGAACGCCTGAGCAATTGAACCGGGACGATGTGCCTGAGCGCCTGTTCTGGACCAGATGAGGGTTGCTCATCATCGTTCGGAGCGGTGTCTTCCGTGGCGTCGACAACGTGGCAGTTCGCATTATCAGCAGAGTCAATGAGCTCATCGTAGACCTCTCTCTCCTCCCCATAATCAGAGATGGCTCGTGCAAGGGCATCGGGCCATACCGGAGAGGTATCTCGTGGAGACCAGCGGACATCATGTACGACTCGAAGGAATTGCTCCCAACGGTGTAGGAAGGGACCAGTGAAGTCGTTGGCGAAACTGCGCCACTCTTTCTGGACATTCTGGTTGTCGACAATGACCACGACTCGTCCCTCGAGCAGACCGATACATTCATCGATGGCCAGGAGAATAGCGGCTCGCTCCTTCCAGGTAGAGCTGCGAGATGTAGCCGTACGAGGTGACCATTTTCCACCAACGAGTCGGAGGGGTAGAGCATGCAGTGCCAGGTTGACATCAGGGAAGAACTCTTTAAGGTTTGGGATCCTGCAACGTAGCGACGACTGAGTGGCCTCGCAGTTATCGTTGTTGAGCGGACAGTAGGTTGTAACCCTCAAGATGATAGCAGACCACCCATGGCAGTTGGCATTACTAAGGACAATGGTGCCGATGGCTTGATCGTCTCGAGCGGCATATAGAGCCGGTATACCACTGAGATAGTAGTCGAACAGTGACTTGAAAGCCGCGTGTACAAGGGTACTCTGAGCTTCCACCTCCTCGTCGGTGATAGCAGGATCTTGGAGTCGCTTGGACACGTCAGTGAGAGCATGCAGAGCATCAAGCTGCTGCTTCGCAAGGTGACCAAGGAAGTAGTTGAATGTACCACACCATGATTTGAGCCATGATACCCGAGACGAGATTTTGAGGTTCGAGGCAGCTGCGGCAACTTTAGGAGCTCCTCGCTTACGCTTGGCCTTGAAGGTTCCGTTGATAAACTCGTCCCATGCGAGATCGAAGGATGCCTCAGTGAGTACCCTCCGCGATGGATGCGGACGGTAGCGTCCACCTGACTCGATGACCAGACCGCAAAAGGGAGTTACCGATGCCGGGCCGACAGTCTTCAGGGGGTTAACAGCAAAGCAATAGTCTTGTAGGACACTGGTGACGATAGAAAGAGCCTTCATAGAATCAGCTTTGGTAGGACAACCTAGCAGGATGTCATCTTGCACGAATAGGACAGAGCACGGGCAGTTAGCTTTTGCGAGAGCTTCTTTGATGGGGTTGTGTACAAGCCAATGT